GGTCGCCAAGCAGGGAGGCCAGGCCATGCCAAGCGGCGAGCCGGACTCTACGAGGGAGCGCTGGAGGTGGCCAGGCCCTAGGGTGACCAGACAGCAAGTGTGAAAAATCGGGACAGGGAGTGGGGGTTAATAGGATCCTATATAAGAAAAAGACCCAAAAATCAGGACTGTCCCTATAAAATCGGGACATCTGGTCACCCTACCAGGCCCAGCCAGAGACGGGGCGGTTGGGGGAGCTTGGAGTGGTGCCCAAACCTGGGGGCTGACGGACGCTGCTGAGTCCTGCAGGGGGTGGGAGGGGAGGACCGGCTGTCCCAGCGGTGGGCAGCAGGGCCCTTCGCTCAGTCACGGGTCCCCTACCAGGACTTTGGGGTTGGGGGCAGGACAGGGGGTAACTGGCTATTTGTGGTGCTGCTAAAGAGATGGACAGGGAGCCTCACCCAGCGAGGCCACCAGCTCGAAATTCTCCCTCATCACGGCCCAGTACAGCTCCCGTCTGCCATTCCGCTAACGCCGCCCACTCCTCTGGCGAGAAACAGAGCGCCACGTCCTCGAACGCCACCTGCAACACAAACCGCCCCCAACAGCACCTCCTGAATAGCCACGCCCGGGCCCTACAACGTCACCACCCACCCAGGGAGGCAGACAGGAGGGCCCGGCTCCGTTCCCCATCCCCTGTCTCGGAGTTGGCCCTGGGACCTCGGGAGGGAAAGGCCCCGGGAAGGAGGGCAGCCATGGGAGCGGCGCAGGGGCGCTGGAGCCAGACGGTTTCATGGCACTGGCCTCTTCCTCCCCTGCACTCAAGCCGACAGCAGATCCCCTGGCCAGTCTCGCGACAGGGCTGCCCTGCATGGCAGAACGAGCCAGCCGCTGGGACGGGGAACCGAGGCAGCCAGACCCCGGCCTGGAACTTGGCTCTGCCTGCGTTTCCAAGGCGACAGTTAGGATGCTCATGGGGTGGGGGAGCCCTTGGAGCCATCAGCCCAGGGCACTGCTGGGAGCACCATCCACCTGGCACATCTGTCCCAGGCACCCTCCACCCAACCCCCGCTCCCTACCTGCGCCGGTCGCAGGGAGCTCTGCGTCTCGCACACCTGTCCCCGGTGCAGGAGGACCCTGGAGAACCGAGGAGCCCAGACAAACCGACCATCCCAGACACACGGCCCGGCTCGGCGACTCGCCGCAACCCAACCGTCCGACCGGGCGTCGTCGGAGCCTGGGTGGGGCAGAGAACGGCACCGCGTTATCCGAGCACGCGGGAGAGGCCACCGGGACGGAGCGAAGGCGCGAGCTCTCTGCGTGGTGACACCGCTCGCAGAGGACACGGAAGGGCCAGGTGCATCCAGCCCACCTCATGCCACGCAGTAAGGGGCTGCGAGTCCGGGCTCCCCAGGTGCACAACTGTCCCACTGCTGAAGGGTGCAAAAAGCCCCCCCCACACACAGCCAGCAACAGAACAGGGAGCCCCAGGCCGGGGCTGAGCGACACCAAGCCTGGAATAGTGGGGGCTGCGGGTTGGGAGAGGGGGTGTCAGCAGAGCTGGGGGGAAGCCCAGGGCTGGGCTAGCAGGGGGCTGCGGGTCGGGAGTGAGGGGCACCGACAG